CATCAAGTCCGTCTGTGTCTGTCTCGTCCCACGGTCCGAAGAGCAGGGCCTCGGACTTGCTTCTGTTAAGTTTAGCGCCCGAGGCCCGACCGTACCAGTCAGTCAAGTCCATTGCTCTTCGTATGGATAAAATGTCCGTGGCTAAAAGAGTGATGTCGTCCATATATAAAACACACGTTGCTGTCAGTCCGCCGGTCCCAGGTACGTCTAGTCCTTTTATCCATGTATCCCTTCTCAAGATCTGTGCCAGTGGCTCAATGCAAGCCACATACAGAAGGGGAGATAAAGGACACCCCTGACGGACACCGCTGTGGATATTTACAGCTTTGGAAAGATGCCCATTTACAAGAATTTTGCTGCCTAAGCCCTCATACAGCAGTCCCACCCAAGCTATAAACCTCTCTGGAAAGCCCATTTTTTGCAGTACCTGAAAGAGGTACTGGTGCGAGACCCGGTCAAAAGCTTTTTCGAAATCTAAATTTAGGGCTACAAGCCGAATGTTTCTGTCTCTCGCATAACAGATGGCATCTCTAATCAGAACTAGGCTGTCTGTTATCTTTCTTCTGGGCACAGCGCAAGCTTGATCCGGGTGGATTACGTCCTCTAAAACGGTCGACATACGTGTAGCTAAAACTTTACTAAAAAGTTTGCAATCAAAATTTAAAAGCGTAATAGGTCTCCAATTTTTTAAGTCAGTCCGGTCACCTTTTTTGTAAAGTAAGGAAACTATCCCTGTTCTAAAACTGTCCGGAAGTCTGTCAAGGGTCTCAAAGTCTTTAAAAATATTCAATAGTTCGTGAGCTAAAATGTCCCAAAAGGTAAGATAAAACTCCAGGGGGAGTCCATCTGCCCCTGGGGATTTACCCCTCTTAAAACCTTTAAGTGCTTTTTGTGTTTCTAAAATGGTAAAATCTTGGATTAAAAGCTCATTTGGACTATTTACTGTCTTGACTAAAAAATGTAAAACTTCCTTTAGAGCGGTTTCATGTACTTCTTTTGGACTATATAACTCCTGGTAAAAATGCTCAACCCCTTTTAAAATTTCCTCTGTTGTTTTTACATCCCTCCCTTCTACTTTTACACTGGTCATAGCCCCTCCCCTTGTTAATATCTTTTAAAAAAAATACCTAGTACATTTTTCACCTTCTTCTATATCTCTCTCTTTACTTCTTAAAATAACCCCTTTACTTTGGAAACTGGATAAAACTGACATTTCTTTTTTGACCTCTTTCATTTCATCGTTAAAATCAAAACCATTATTAAAAAGATTAAAATATCTTTGTAGTCTTTTTTGCAGCCCCATCATGTGTCTCTTTTCCCTGTTCTTCTTGTCCCTTCCTACTTTCATGAAATACTGTCTTGTCCGGTCCTTTACCATCTCCCACCACTGTGCACGTGTATCGTAAAAGTCTTGGAGGGTCTGCCATTGGCTGAACTGCTCCCTATATTCCTTTACTACATCCTCGTCTTCTAAAAGGGAGCAGTTCAGCTTCCACAGCCCTCCCCCTACCGTCACACCTGTGGGCAGTGAAAGGGTGGAAGACAGCATTAAGTGGTCAGAAAAGAAGAGGGGGGTCACTGTAGCATCGGTTGGCGGGCAGTCTCTTGTCAAAATATAGTCGATGCGAGTGGCTCTGGAGCCATCACTACTGAACCAAGTGTAGCCCTCCTCTCTTTGATGCACATTTTTAAAACAGTCGACTAATTTAAAATCTCTCACTAAGCCCTGCAATAAAACCGTTGTCTTATCGACTTTAAAATCCTCTCCTACCCTCTTCCTATCTTTTTTGGATAAAACACAGTTAAAATCCCCTGCCACCACTAGGGGAGCCCTACCTAACATATGGGGCTGCAAGTCTTCTAACAGCTCATACCTTTCATTTTTTCCTGTAAAACCATACACATTAAGAACATTTAAATCTCTACCTAAAAAGTTCAGATTTGCTAAAAGAGCCCGCCCTTCCCTCACCACTGTGCTGCCCTTCACCAAGATATGGGGATTTTTTATTAGAATAGCAACACCGTCATTTTTATTTTGGTTTGATCCACTCCATATGGAGGGACCAGATGCCCATAGCTCCTCCATCTTGGTGTACCTGGTTAAAAAGGGCAAAGCACACTCTTGTATTAAAAACAAATCTGATTTACAAGTATTTAAAAAGGATAAAATGCTCTGTGCTCGTATAGTGGACCTCACACTTCTTACATTGATGGTTGAGATAGTGAGGGCCATGAGCAGTAAGGTTAAAAAGGTATGAGACATTTAAAACAGAAGATATTAAAAGACTACAAACAAATTATTAAAATCATGTGATCTCTTGTTGCAATTGCCTTTCCCTCCTCCCAGATGGACTGGGGTCAGGAAGGCTAATGCTTACCACCTCTGGGGCTACAGAGGAAACCTCTTGTAGCTCTTTCGGCGATGATGTTCTTAGCTTTATGTGCAAAAAGGATACCTCATTTGGGGATTTTAGGGGCCACATACGTTCCGGATCTTCCAAGTTGGAACTATCCGAACGATGTGCTGCCCTAGCCTTTTTCTCCTCTGTGTCAAACAGAGGAGATCCCGCAGGCCTTTTTTGCACCTGAGCATTTGGGAATGAAAGGTCAATTTCACTCCCACTGGTTTCTAAAAACACTTCCGGAACCGTTTCTAATGAGGAAACTGTTTCTTCATCTGTCTCCTCTCCTTCCCTGTCTTTCTCATTGGTGGTGACTTTCAGTTCAGTGGTTATTTCAGTTTGAATATTTGACTCTGCCCCTATGGCCGCCCCACTTCCTCCCTCTAGCCCAATCCCTGAGGCTGGCAGGGGGTTTGAAATTCCCGCCAAAACCTCAGGGACCGCCTCCTCCTTCCTTTGTTCCCTTGTTTGGTGTGCTTGTGGGGCGGCCATTTTGAGCTTGTTGGCAAAACTTTTAGGGCAATCTCTGTAGAGATGGGTTGATTCTCCACAAAGATTGCACCGCCTGCCATTGGTACATTTTTCAAAACTGTGACCAATTTCTTTACACTTCCCACATACTAATTCTTGGCATGCCTCGGCAAGATGCCCAACTCTTCCACATTTCCTACACAACTTGGGCATCCCTTGATAGTGTATGTAGCCTCTGTTTTCTCCCAGCACAATCATGGAAGGCAGATGTTTCAGGCCTTGGTAGCCCCCAGCATCTTCCCATTGTTTGATGGGAATCCGCCAGGAGCAATTCCAAATGCCATCCTCATCTAGCACTTTGACAGGCTGACTTCTAACAGTGCAAAATCTACCCAGCCAGACACAAATATCATCTCCAGTCACTGTTTCATTGAACATCCTGACAATCACAGTTTTAAGTGTGTTATCAGAAAGTTTCTCCACAGTGAACATGGAGAACTGGGCCTTCACAGTTTCAAACCTTTGCCAAAAATCATTAAGAAGGGAAGCAGCCTTAAAGCTCAAATCAAATCCCTTGTTTAGGGGCAGAGTCATCAAACAGTTTAAGTCATCAGGCTTAAAATGTAAGGTATTTTGGATCAGCTTCCTGGAAAAGTCCATGCGGGACATACCCAGAAGCTTCCCCTCAACCTCTCTGAATGTAAAACGCACGCTGTGGTGCCTCCGTACGCCGGCACGGGCAGCCGACATGATGGAGGCACCGACAGCCTAAAACTTTAAAATACCAATAAAAGTTTAAATAAATAAATAGATAAATAAATAAATAGATAAAACAGGTCTTACCTTAAAACTGAAACGGAGTAAAATCAGCTGGGTCAATCTACCTCTCAAGAGATGTGTGGCTCGGGATACCGGGAGATCTCGAGCCAAGAACCTCCAAGAGGCGATCGCAGTCTCAACCGTCTGACCAGATACTTGATCTTAGCCAAAAGGCCGAGAAGCGATGACACAATGACGCAGAGGCGGGGGAGCCGGCAAAAGCCACGCCCACCTGGGCCGCGGCGAGAGGGTCTAAGGTCGCCAACAAACAAGCTCAGCTCAGATTGGTTGTCACACCGAAAATGGATCACAACAGAGTGCACAACACGACACTCTGGAGTGCAACCTGGGATTTTGGATCATCAACATTCTGCCCTAAAAGTGAGCGGGCAGACCAAAGCGTACGTCGTAGAGACTTGAAACTCTGACGGATGCTAGTACCCGCCCGGTCTACAACATCACCAAGGCTCGCCCCGATCGGCCCCAGGGTGGCGCTGCAGCGATCAAAAGTACGAAATGGCTCGTAACTCCTCGACCGTCCGTCGCAGACCCAAGTGTCTTACATGACCGGAATCCTTGGCTCGGGCCGAACAAGACGCACGCCTCGGATTGGATGGTCGCGCTGGCGAGATTTTCGGGTATTTTGGATTTTCTGAAAAACCTACTTTTGCACACTAGTCCTAGGTTTTTTGCCCGATCTGACCCAAACCGGTGCAGAAAGATTCTCTGGAGTCTGACTGCCAACAGTGATCGTGAAAAAAGTCGGAATTTCCATTCGCGTTGGCGACCGGACGCCAAAACGTTGGGAGTTGGCGAGGCGGGCTTTACTTAAATGGCTATAACTCGCCAACGGAATGAGACAATTACACCCAACTCGGTACACCTGTGTACGGGCTCAGCCTGTGGTCACGTGAAAAGGGATGCGGCGACTGGCCACTTGGTGGCGCTGTAAACAGAAAAAACAACAACATGAATACGGCCATAGACGGCTGTATATCACATGATGTTTCACACATGCACAAGGTATTCATACCATATGATAGACCTCCTCATTACGAACAACTTTGCCTCCAGGACAACTGCTGTGAATCAAATCGTTTGTTAAATATTGGAGATTATTTGAAGAAGAATAAAACAAATCCATTTAAACAAAAAAGAAAAAACCTCCTTTCACAGAGGTTGTTTTATATCTCCCGATCAACCACTGCAGTTAAAATTATCTGGACTTCCTAGGTCATCAACTATCAGAAGAAGAAGAAGAAAAACATAAGTGGAACTTTAACAATCTGCTCTTTTAACCAGTGTGTCCAGGGGAGAGCGCGTACGCAGTCCCCCACTACCATAAATTATGCAGTCGAGATTCCCACATTTGGGGAATTCGCAGGGGTCAGCACAACCGGAGTGCAATGGCCGAGCCATTTTTTTGTTGTTTTTGTTGTTTTTTCATGCTCCGGCTCCGTGAGCCAAAAATCTATTAATATCTATTAATACGCAGTCCCCGGATAGTGGACGAATCAGATATTAAACGGATAGGAACAGAGTTTTTTTTTTTTACACCACGATTCTACCTTTACTAGTATAGTATATGATCACCTACAACACGACAATACACACTACTTCCATTAACACCTGCTGCCACATAACACCAAAACATTTCTTTCATTGAACACTTTAGGGGGGTGCACCGTTCCCAGAAGTACTGCAATACCGGGTCGATGCGTGGAGTGGACGGAGCAAGCCCCTATTCCATCTCCCAGCTCCAAAAAGCAATTTAATATATGGTGCCCGGGTAGGGCACGTATCAGATATTAAACTGATAAGAACAGATTTTTTTCTTTCGAAAAAAGTTTATTGTCACAGTTTTTCCATTATTTCCATTTCCACATTTTTTTTTCCTTTCTTAAAAATCACATGTTTTAAAACAAAAATTACATATTTAACGTTTAAAAATCAGTTTTGTGTGGTGTGTAGTTTAAAAGTCCATGTATGTTGATATTTGTTGTTTAAAAGAAAGTTAAATGGATGAAAATAAATGCAATTAAAACTGTAAAACAAATAAAACATGCCAAATAAAACATCTCTTGTACAGGATCGAGGGTGAGTCCCTATCAAGATTGTCCATTCACTCCAGGTCTCCAGAACAGGCTCCAGACTCCCCGCTTCCGGTGCCCAGCGGAGATCCCCTCTCCTCCGGCCCGCTGGCCCGCTGTTCCCGTAGCCGGTGTGGTGAGGGTGCATCTACGGGCGGCCAGGGTCGGTGGCGGCCGGGACCTTCCCCGTGTGGCCCGGCCCCCCCATCCGAATAACGACGTCCGGCGCCTCCTGCAGCGTTGATTTTATCAGTTGCTCGCACGCGTGGAGGGGCACCGTAACGCGTTTCCCCACCAGCAGGTTTCTGGTGACCCAGATGGCATCCTTGATCATGTTTAGGGTGAGCCAGAGCGAGGAGAATTGGGGTGATGTAAGCTCCTTCAAGCCCTGACCCACCCCCAGGATGGCGAGCTTGTAGTCCACCTGGGCCCCACCCGCTGGCAGGCACGGGAAAAACAGGGGGCCGGTCTTGTCCCACAGGTCCCGCGCAGCGCCGCACTCCCAGAGCAGATGGTAGACGGTCTCCGGGGAACCACATCCGGACCGTGGGCAGGTGGAGTTTTTGGCCATGCCTCTGGAGTGCATGACCGCCCTGACCGGGAGGATCTCATGAGCCACCATCCACGACAAGTCTTTCAGCCTGTTCTGGAGAGCTGGGTGGGCTGAGTTCCTCCAAACGTCTTTGGCCTCACCTAGTGTGAAAAAGAAAATGGCGAAGTTTACAATCATAATTTAAAAGAGTGATTGGTCGCCAGTTTCTCAAGTCAGTCTTGTCCCCTTGTCCCCACCTAGTGTGAGGCCTGGAACCGGACTCACCGATTCCCGATCCTGCACAAGAGAGATAAGAGACTTATGGTTAGTTAAAATGGTGGCATCATTTGTCTCTAAAAGATATTTCTTTAAAAATTTCTTAATAAAACTATGCTCTTTTGACAAATTAAAAGACACTGGACTTTTAAGATCAATGGGTAAAATTCTCAAAGTTCTTAGGTATGACCCCATCCAGAATCGGGTCATGGCTGCTGTCTTGTGTTCTCTGGATGGGGTCAGGGCGTATTGGATGTGGAGGGCGGCAAAGCGGCTGCCTAAAAACAGGTGGGGGTCTGGGAGGCCTTTCCCGCCATTTTCTTTTTTCTTTTTGACGACCTCCCTCTTTAGTCGTTCCCACTTGGACCCCCACAGGAAATAAAATACCGCCCTCTCCAGCTTGGCCAGGAATCGTCTTGGGGGACTAAAAACAGAACAGACAAGTAAAATTAGTGGTAAAATCACTGCTTTAAAAATTAAAATCTTGCCTTCAAACGTCAATTGTCTCAGTCCCCAAAAGCCCAGTCTTTGCCTGACTTTCCCTAACATGTCAGTCCAGTTTCCTTGTCCTCCACCCTCTCTGTCAAATTTTACACCTAAAATTTTCAAATCATTGTCTTTAAAATCCAAATCTAGTCCAACTGTGTCTACGTTCCCCCACGGCCCGAAGAGCTGGGCCTCGGACTTACTCCTATTGAGCTTGGCGCCCGAGGCCCGACCGTACCAGTCAGTCAAGTCCATTGCTCTTCGTACTGATAAAAGGTCAGTCGCTAAAAGGGTCACGTCATCCATATATAAAACACAAGTCGCCGTCAGTCCACCAGTCCCTGGGATGTCTAGTCCTTTAATCCATTTATCCCTTCTCAAGATTTGTGCCAGTGGCTCAATACAAGCCACATACAGAAGGGGAGATAAAGGACACCCCTGACGGACGCCGCTGTAGAGTTTTACAGCTTTGGATAAATGCCCGTTAACCAAAATTCTGCTAGACAGATCGTTGTACAGCAGTCCCACCCAGGCTATGAACCTCCCTGGAAACCCCATTTTACCCAGTACCTTAAAAAGGAACTGGTGCGAGACGCGGTCAAAGGCTTTTTCGAAATCTAAATTTAGGACTACTAGCCGAATGTTTCTGTCTCTCGCAAAACAGATGGCGTCTCTGATCAGTACCAGGCTGTCCGTGATCTTCCTGCCGGGCACAGCGCATGCTTGATCCAGGTGGATTACGTCCTCTAAAACAGTCGACATACGTGTAGCTAAAATCTTACTAAAAAGTTTACAATCATAATTTAAAAGAGTGATTGGTCGCCAGTTTCTCAAGTCAGTCTTGTCCCCTTTTTTGTATAGTAATGTAACTATCCCTACTCTAAAGCTGTCTGGAAGTCTGTCAAGAGTCTCAAGTTCTTTAAAAACTGTCATTAAGTCGTGTGCTAAAATGTCCCAGAAAGTCAGATAAAACTCAAAGGGGAGTCCATCCAAGCCTGGGGACTTCCCCTTTTTAAAACCTTTTAGCGCTTTGTGCATTTCTAAAGGAGTAAAATCTTGGGATAAAAGCACATCTGGACTCTTTAGCTTTTTGTCTAAAAACCCTAAAACTTCCTCTAAGATGCTATTGTGTACCTCTTTAGTGCTGTATAAATTATTGTAAAAACTTTCAATTTCCCCTAAAATCAGATCTGTTGTATTTGCCTCCCCACCTGTAAAAGTTTTTAAAGTATTAATTGACCCTCCCCGTGATATTGTCTTTTTAAAAAAATATCTAGTACACTTTTCCCCTTCTTCTATTTCTCTCTCCTTACATCTTAAAATGACACCTTTACTCTTTGTTTCGGACAAATCTGACGTTTCTTTCTTTAATTCTTTAATTTCTTCTGTAAAATCCAATCCACTGTTTAAAAGGTTAAAATATCTCTGCAGTCGTTTTTGCAGCCCCATCATGCGTCTTTTTTCTTTATTCTTTTTTTCTTTTCCAATTTGTTTAAAAAACCTTCCTGTCCTTTGTTTCACCATCTCCCACCACTGTGCACGTGAGTCGAAAAAAGTCTTGGAGGGTCTGCCATTGGCTGAACTGCTCCCTATATTCACTAATCACTTCCTCATCCTCTAATAGGGAACAGTTCAGCTTCCACAGCCCTCCCCCTACAGTCACACCCGTGGGTAGTGAAAGGGTGCAGGAGAGCATCATGTGATCAGAAAAGAAGAGGGGGCTCAATGTAGCATCGGTCGGCGGGCAGTCCCTTGTAAAAACATAGTCAATTCGAGAGGCTCTGGCGCCATCACCACTGAACCAGGTGAAGCCCTCCTCTCTTTGATGCATTGTTTTAAAGCAGTCAACTAACTTAAAATCTTTGACTATATTTTGTAATAAAACCGATGTCTTGTCGACCTTTAAATCCTCTCCTACCCTCTTTCTATCCTGTCTTGATAAAACACAATTAAAATCCCCTGCTACCACTAGGGGAGCCCTACCTAGCATGTGGGGCTGCAGGTCTTCTAAAAGCTCATACCTGTTGTTTTTACCTGTAAAACCATACACATTTAAAATGTTAAAATCCTTACCTAAAAAAGTCAGACTAGCTAAAATTGCCCGCCCGTCCCTCACCACAGTGCTGCCCTTCACCAAAACATGGGGATTTTTTATTAAAATAGCAACACCGTCATTTTTGTTAAAATTGGACCCACTCCAGATGGAAAGTCCTGGGGTCCAAATCTCCTCCCACTTCCTGTAATTTGTTAAAAAAGGCAGACCACATTCTTGCAATAAAAACACATCTGACTTAAAAGATTTTAAAAAGGATAACACACTCTGTGCTCGTGTATTGCTCTTCACACTTCTCACATTGATTGTGGAGATAGTGAGAGCCATGAGCAGTATGGTTAAAAGGGTGTGAGACATTTAAAAGCAACCAAGGGACTACAGAGATATAATTAAAATCATGTTATTTCTTGTTGCACTTGCCTTCCCTTTTCCCCAGATGAGCTGGGATCAGGGGGGCAAGTGCTTGACGCCTCAGGGCTCGCAGAGTGGGCCTCTTGCGAATCCTTTGGCGACGATGTTCTTAGCTTGAAATGCAGAAAGGAGACTTCATTAGGAGATTCTGCGGGCCACATACGGGCTAGATCTTCCAGGGGGGAACTATCTAGCCGATGCGCTACCCGCAGCTTTTTCTCCTCTGTTTGAACCAGAGGATATCTCGCAGTTCTTTTCTGCACTTGAGCATTGGGGAGCGAAACATCTGTTTCACTCCCACTCGTGGACACACTAACCTCAGACACGGTTACTAGGGAGGAAGCCATTTCCTCCTCTTCATCCTCCATACTGTCTTCTTTTTCAATTTCATTTTGAGGATTGGCTTCCTCCCCCTCACCAACTGCCAGAATTGACTCCGCCCCTGTGGCCGCCCCACTTCCTCCTTCCTGTCCAATCCCTGAGGCTGGCTGAGGGTTTGAATTTCCCGCCAAAACCTCGGGGCCCGCCTCCTCAATTGTTTGTTCTTTGGGTGGGGCGGCCATTTTGTAGCTTTTTAACTTGTTGGCAAAACTTTTAGGGCAGTCTCTGTAGAGATGG